ACTTACCATTGTCTCTCAGGATCACCAGCAGTTGCTAAGTCAACGATTAGCTCTACTAACCCTAACCCTGTCTGAGTTTGCGCACAGTAGCGTGTGTACTTCTTCCATGTATAGTAGTTTGCGTCCAATTATTATCGATCTTTGCAAACACAAACTCGCGAATCGTCTGATAATATGATAAATGACAGTTTCGTAGCGTCAGCTTGGGCATCCATGGTAAGGATTGCACCAAACGCTGACCATCTATGTTCATTAACCCAGTCAATAACGTACAATATTGGCCGGAGTTCTGCTGCAGTACGGTAATCGAAGACCGTACACTCAGCCAGAAGTGACGATCAGTGTCCAGGCGCTAGGTCCGGCCATTGCAGATCATACCTGGTGATTCCCGACCAGTTTTCGCCATCCCTTTGCCATATCTTGCTAATTGTGGTCGGTAAGATGGAACCTGGACATGACTGACCATTTGTTTCGCTTTTTTGCTGATGTGGAGGAGCACCACCCACCCGAATCGCGATTCTCTGTACTCGATTCCCTCAGTCCGACCTCGGATAAGCCCTCTTAAAATAGGTTATATGTCAAATTATTATTGGGGTTTGTCTTAGCACGTCTTACGAGCGACCCTACTGCTACTTGAAGCTGGCGGCTTCTCTACTTTAATCAGAATCACTGGTGTACAGATTCCCTCCACCTTCAAATGTCCAACCAGACCGAAACCCTTCCTTTCAGAAAGTCCGGCCGTCTCACCTGGCAACCTGCTGCTGGCTCTGGCACAAAGACCGGGAATTGAGTGCGCCGTGTCTTGGTAAACTGAATATATTCGCTATGCGGGCCCGAGAGCTGTAACAAGGCATAGTAGGGAGAAGAACAACGCGGCACACGTTGAGAAACCATCGCGCGAGGATGCATAGATTACCTAATTCTGATATCACAGACGCCCGAAGGCCTGACCGACTCAAGAATCTATCCTGGAATCGACCCGTAGAAACGTGGGGTGGTCAAAGTGCCCACACGAATTCAGGACGATTCCCTTCCACCGAATCGCTGCAGAATCGCTTGTCGAACCGTCCTCCGAAACGCCATCTTTGACTACCCCTAATGACGCGGAGTCCGATGATGACTTGTCGCATGCCTACTTAACATTCGCTGGGCTCGCGCTTCGATGGGTCCGCGGCGGAACCAAGGACAGAAACTAGAATCGTCTCAAAGGAATGTCTTCGAAGGGGGTGTATAGGAACCCGTCGGCGCTGTATGTGTCCAAGCAGGTGAAGGGAACTGTCGGGAAGGATATCCGTCAAAACAGGATGAGATACGGATAGTGACCATGTGGATGTGAGGAACAAACCAACACGAGCTGCAACCATACTAAGATATACACTAGAGGCGAATACCTTGCAACAGAGGCCGTGTTACTTCGGGGGAAGTGGCGGTGTGGGGCGAGAGGACAAGGGGTAAAACGCTCAAACGTGCGCCGCAAGCGCACCTTCCGGCAAGCATCGTAACAAGATGCACGGCATTCTGTTATCTGGAACGCATTCGAATAAAGCTCTGAATCGCGAAGACATAGAGGATTTGTGCCTACCCAAGGAAAGGACCTGCCGTGCTCTGCAGATATGTCAGTATGTGTGTACCTTTCGCGAGGCCGGGACCGGCGCTGGGTCACAGACTCGAAGACCGCCGCTTGGGGTGACACACAAGACACGTTAATGTCGATCCTTGTCGTTGTTGTATGTTGAGTGGTACACGCCAATGTTAATCGCAAGACTGATATGCCGACGGGGGTTGTGCCAACAACCCTGCACAACAAGTGCTGGCGCTCGGTGCCGACTGATTGTTTGTCCTTGTGTTCGTGGCCGCGTGCTCGACGCGTGGCTGCCACGAGGTTCTCGCTCCTCTACCCACTAGCAGATCGCTTTGCAAATTCAATTCGCCCTAAGTTGTTGTCTCATCCAGACAGCGACGTTGATATCATCCCGTCAACTGAGACCTTGAGGTCTAACCATGTGCGCACGAAACACTGTGTTACGTATGCTTGTTTCTGGTGTTCAGGCATCGGACACTCGTAGCCGTCGAGCCGTCGAACCGTTGCTGATGCACTTAGACTCACCGGGAGGGGCGGGGGTGCCTTGTCAACGAATTCAACTACATACTGACACCCCCGCGCGCGCAGCCTTGGGAGTGGGAAAAGCTCCGGGTGGACTCTACCACCTGCGCGCACATGGACCCGTTGAGTTTGCGCCACGATCTTCCGTGTCGTAATCCCGAAGAGGACGGCGAGGCGGTGACAAGCCAAGCGTGGTCACGCCCCATTGCGAACGTATCGCCTTGTCGATCTTAGTTCGCAGCACCTCCCGTGATTTACACGCGGGTTTGACGGTCCAACACACTTGCATTACGCCACTACGTACAATGACCGCTGTAGTTGCCATAGTATACCAAGCTACGTACTGCCAACAAGGACCGTGGTGCGTGCAATGGCCTCGAGACCCCGGACCACCAGGGGCCGATTCCTCCAGGACATCAACTTAAGACGCACGAGAGAAACCAAGACGCCATACTGTACAATACGATTGGACAAGGGTCTCAAATCCCAGGACGTTAGAGTGGGGCGTTAGAGTGGAGCGACAGTATCGAGAAGGGAGCGTGCCGAGCTGGTGGCCACATATATCGGAGCATTTACACTATCCCGAGAACGAGAGAGCCCGAGAAACCGAAACGCCAGCTTGTGGGAGCCATGTAAGTTAGCGGTCAAGAAGAGCGAGCATACGAGCCTCAATCTCCGCAGTCAAGGGACAAGCCTGAAACAATCAGGAGTAAGCCACCAGAGCACTCAGGGATGAAGGACCCCCCACGAAGGGAGACAGGAACGCACAGACGCGAGCCAGCCTAGCCATCGATCCAGCATGACACGACTCCAGAGCGATAGAATCAGCCGCTAGAGTGAACCCGCCCCCCCGCAGTGTTAGGGCAGAAGGCCTTGATGTGCCGAGAGAGGGTGTCGGCGCGCGCGAAGTCAGATCCGCAGTGCGGACACTGTTTTGTCATGTTGCGGAGGTGGCACTCCGCGATGTGCTTCCCAAAGCTGGAGGGATACATGTCCTTGCCGCAGCGCCCGCCCCAGAGGCACACGCCGCGGTTGCGATTGTCCGTCACAGCCACGCTGTGGTACTGACGCAAGTGTCGCGCGATGCCTGCAGGACTAGAATCCTCCAGGAGCATGCCACAGTGCTGGGACTCCCACTCGCATCGTGGCTCGCTAGGATGGCCGTGATTCGTAGACACGGCAGAGCTCAGCTGGTCCACACATGCGTAGGAGTAGCCTGTGGTAGATTGCCCAAGCACACCGCCAGCATACCGACCAGCATTCGCTATGTTCGAGTACGATGGTGAGAAGGAAGGCGTCGTGCGGTAAGAGTCGCTTTCCATGCCAGAATACGGAGGCAGAGAACGGTGCCCGTCCCTTGGTAAGTCGTAAGGTGCGGCATTCATGTGGGGAAAGGTGCTGCGAGGGCGAGTCATCCGGAGATCACTGAGCATGAAGAGACGTTTCAGCGGATCGTTGGAGATGAAATGAGGGCGAGGCTCACGCTATGGAAGGTTGCCAACCGCTAGTGTGGTTGGGGACGCCATGAGGGCTATACGTGTATGGCGTGCTATATGCAGAAGCGCATTGAACCAAACGACTCGACTTGCAGCAAGCTGTCACTTACGTTGTGTGTACGTATTGTCTCTCATAGGGGCCGGAATGGGTGGACGACGGGGAATTTGGGGAGTCTGGGGAGTAAGACTTGCTGTTTGTACGAATACATATGATTGAGTGTCCAGACTGAAGATGAATTACGGAGTACTCACTAGTCGGCGTGCTCATAGGGGTGGTCTCTAGTAAACGGGGATGGTAAGACGGGCAGGCTTCCACCAAGAAGTAACAAACGATGCGTACTCGTAGATCAGATCCAAAGGCATTTGCCGACTGCCAGAAGTGTGCCCCAGGAAGTCGCGACGTGTGGTCGAAGGCATCACAGCCGATGAGGATTGCATGACTGGGACGTAAGGGAAGAAGTAGAAGACAAGGGAGTCGTAGTCGGGATCCAAGGAGCGAGCGGGTTCCTTGACGCAGAGTCGTACAAGGTCTTTATAGCAAGGACTGAATGGTGCCGATGGGCCGCCCCTCGCGTCACAAGGAGTGACAGCGCACTGCTAGGGCACAGGCGATGAGGTGCAGAGGAAAGCGCAAGGGTGAGGGTTGAACGTTGACAATTGAGGACAAATATCATGCCTTACATAGTGTCCTGTTGAGCTGATTCCGGCAAGCCGCGCGCTGAGACTCCATTCGGCGACTCAATGTTCGGAGCATGTCCTCGGACTCTGGAACAGGAGGAAGCCGAGTACGAAGGCGTCAAAGAATTACTCAGGTCTTCTCTGATTCAACAGCGCGTGTGCACCCTGGTGCAAATCAGGCTAGTGACCGGTGACGATGCGGGGAGCGAATCTATCATCAGTTCATGTCCCGTTCGTCTGGCATTCCCAGCTTCAGTATGAGCACTACGCAGGCACCAGATCGTGCGAAGATGCCGGAGGGACCACGACCGGTTGTTGGCGGCCGAAATTGCGTCAAGGATACGAGAGGAGCACTCAGATGGACAGGCATTCTATCAGGGTTACAGCATGCAAAATCAAGCCCTCGTCGGCGGAACGACCGCTCGTGATGCCAACCAACGCGACGCTACATGCGGAAAGGCAATCCCCACAGCCGCACAGAATAGAGCAAAGATACAACAAGGTTTACTAGAAGGTAGGGCGAACGACAGATGAGCATGAAGCAGCCAGCTGAGCCTGTGCTCTTCAAGGTGTAGGAGCTCCTGCAGACTGCAGCGAAGAGGTCTGTGAAGAATAGTCAGAACTGCCCCCATAGACAGGCCTGCAAGCATAAGCCTCGAGGATGCATGGATGAACCAGTGTAATCGGGCAAATCAAGAGGACATGGCGGTACAAGCCCAAGTATCCTACGGTGCCAACGCCGCAGTGCGTGCGCAAAGGTGCTGCAATTGGGTGTAGGCGCCCTATATTCCGCATCTTCCCGGTCATATCCCGATACGTTGCACCGCCTCAACGCCGCAGGCAAATTCTTGAGGAACCCAGCGACAGCACTGAGATCGCCTACCTTGCCATCGTCCGACTCCATCTTTCATAGATGCGCTCGCAATATTGTTGATCGCACATACTGGCTCCATAACGAGACGGCGCGGAGCTGCTTCCTTTGCGCCCAAACCGACAACAACAGGAAGTGTCGACATTCACTCGATTCCTTCCAATTGCTAGCTCGGCCAAACGGTCTTTCAAGGCAGAGGCGCCATCTACAGGGCAGGTCTGTTTGGATGCCAAGCGACACTCCGTCGATGGCGCAGCTGTCCTTTGATTTTTGCTCTGCACCAACGGGATCTTCCTTCCTCTCGTCCGTGCTCCACGAACACATTACCCTATGGCAAGACTTCGTCATCTGTCATTGTTGGAACGTATACCTATCCCTCAGGGTCTATTGCGACAAGAATATCGCTGCTCGCCATTGGCCCAAAGGTGCCACCGCGCTTCCTCTTCTCCGCCCTCGGAGGTTTGGGCGGTGTCCAGGACGCCCATGTCTTTCCTCTTGAGACATTCCGAGGTATCCCGATTTACAATCCTGGGCGTCGTCCTCTCACGTTTATTATCGCCTATCTGCGCGCTGTTCCTGGATACCGTTCTTGCTGTACACTTGAACGCTGGTCGAAGGCAACGCGGGAGAACGGGTGGCACCCTCTTCCTCTTGAAATCTTCATAGCAATATGCCCCGCTCACGTATCCTCCAGAAGCAGGTGCATTCAGCGAACTTACTCTAGTAGTCGGAAGAACAACGAACGCTCCGAAAGCCGTCATTAAACTCATCGATATAGCCTCCCGGTATGGCGCTTCGTGAAATGCACGCGTTGCTAGTACCCAAGAGCATGGTGCGGTTGAATGGGGTCTTCGACATCGACGCTGATCATCGCGAATAGCGTCATCGCCTCCCCTGTACCGGGCTCTGTTTTGGCCTTCAATTCCCAAGCATCTACGCACGCCTACATGTGCATCCGGTATACAGGACAGGACCGGGTTCAGAAAATGGTATCCGAAGACACCTCATTGTCACCGGGCCCCGAAAAAGAGCGGATCAGGCTGAGGGCGAACCTTAACTTCAGTAAGCGCAGCGATGTGGGAACGCCCATTGCCTGGGCCGATCCCATTCCAACCACACTGCGACGTTCAACGCGTCGCATGTCCGTCTTTCTTGTACATCGATGCGATGCAGAAGAAGTGCTCACAACGGTGGAGCCCTCTTTCGTGTACTCGGGTACAGCCCAGGCCGAAGGCCAGTAGGCGGCAGGGTCGACAACACGCGTGGGCTGCAAGGTGGTGACAGGTACCGAAGCTCTATTCACTTCCAGGCCCTGTTTATCCGTAAACACCTTCTCTCGCGATCCAAACAGGTCATTGCCATTTTCCCGTCGAACCTGCTGCAGTGCCACAGCACAGGTCTTGCGGTTCTCGCTCGCCTCGTAGATGAAGTAGCCGACGGCAGGCGGCACTTTTTTGCGGTCTGCTGACATTCATATCTTGACGTCTTTGTACCACACGCCTTCTCCCAGGTATTGGGACGAGATATACGACAGATACAGAGTCGTTTCAGGCCTGCCCCCATGCAACGCCTTCCACCAGGCCCGGGCTCCAACTCAGCCTTGCGTCATTGTTCGATAGATCCTAGAGCGGTGGTCAATGACGTGTCTTAGGATCGAAGTTCCCCAAATGAAACTTTCAGGACTATAGGAATTCCTCTCCACTCCTCTATTCATTCTCTTTCCCCCACGTCTGTAGGATTGAGAACGACCCGCAAGACAAGCTTGATTAGGAGTCGCCACCCACAACAAGGGAGAGCGCCTGAACCACGTGGCCGTCGCGCGCCCATGACCTCAGAAGATTCCCTCCATTTGACCACCCCTGTGCGATTCGATATCGCGCTCACATGTCCTTTCGAAGTCAATCACAATATGATCTGACCAACGCCTCAACAGTCATCAGAGCAAGGGTACAGAAGAGCAAGAAGCTGACGGGGATGGCGGACTTCCTTGATCAAGAATGCGCGTACAGCTGAGTTGCGGCGGATCTAGGCGAACCTGATGACTCCCGCTGCAAGAGCCTACCGGCGGAGAATCAAGATGAACGCGGGTGCCGCTAGGATTTGTGGGTCCACGCCTCAATTGCCGTTCTAAGGGCCCGAAACGTGATGTCGGCGCGAGACTGCGCGTGGTCACATTTCCGAACAATAGCAGGTTCACGAAATCGCATCGACGTGGCCCAATACTGGGTAGCCTGCGACATAACTTTGCTGCACAGGCTCCCGTAAGTGGACACGTAAAGATGACCCCAGCGTTCGTGGTTTGAAGGGCTTGGAACAAACCTTGATGGCAATAGAAAGTGCATTGAGAAGACTAGAGCCGGAGGGCGATTGAAGAGGCGTCTTTGCGAGTCCCCACGTTGGGTCTCTTCAGATCACCAGGTGGGTCGCAGCAGGGTCGATGAATCAATGAATATGCGTACTATACGGCGGTGTAACATTACAGGCACTGAAACAGGCGCTAAGAGAAAGAAGTCAGTGCATGGAAACGAGACATCACGGAGCTCAATACAGTACTCAGCTAGGGTAGAATGTATTGTAGGCCTTGAAGATGGGGATACCTTACATAGGTTAAGCAACCAGTGCTGACATAGGCATATATTGTACAGGAGGTTGAAAAGCAAGACCTGTCTGGGACCAGTAAATCATAGGCGGCTTTGGAAGGTGGCGGCTTACTGGAGTCTGCGGCGGGTGCTAGTGCACGAAAGAAAAGAGTCCAAGGGAATAGATGAGCGGAAGCCCTAGACATGGTTGCATTGATGAGAACAAGCGCGGTATCACCACCCCACACCCCTTCGACGGGACTCGACCACTCCCCGTCCTTGCGTGTTGGACGACGATCGATAATTGGCGCTTCATACACCAGCGCCAGTACTAGTAAAGTGCCACATACCGCTGCACACTACATAAAGGGAAAGAGCAATGCGGTCAGAGACGATCTAGGAGACAGAACTCTGTCCATGTGACGCAACAGGGAAACGCACCCGTTGGGTGTAGCGGCAGCCAACACCTCCCTTGTAGGTCGGCGCCGCTTGTCTTGACCCTGTAGCCTCTAAACTTGAGCGCGATACAAAAAGTCGTGCCACTGGCACACGAGCGGTTCTGGGCGGCAGAACACCTGCCCGCAGAATCCGCAGGAGCGACAGGCGCTCTTGAGGTGACAGGTCGCGACATGCTTCCCCATCCCTCCGGATAGAATTGTGCTGCCCGGAACACACTCGCCACCCTAGGGGCCCGAGTGCGCTTCTTCCCGTTATGTCCCCCGTGCCAATGCTTATCCCGTGGTGTTCGCGAAGATGGGCAAGGACTGCCGGAGTCGTGTCATCCCGCAAAACCTCGCCACATATGGGAGTACTATCCCATTGGCAACGAAGGTATTTGTCTACGGCCGCTACTAGATATTGTAAAGCAGTTTGCTCAGGAGCGCAGCCAGATGGGGGTAGAAGGGCCAGTGTGGAGGTGGGTAAGGCGGAGGATTGTAGATTGCGCTGGGTCCTTGCAACGCGAGTCGACGGACTCGGAAGCCACTGGGCCTGTTTGTGCCGAAGACAGCGCGGCCAGGCGTCTCCTGCCGCATGGGGTTAGTTAGCTAGGATGGTGGCAAGCGGCGTGGGTAGCGCTTCATATAGTGTTCGAGGAAGAGTATGGCGTAGAAGGCCAAAGTCGAGTTAGGAGCAGGGAGGAGAGGGGCGGCGATGGATATGATCGCAGCTGATAGACGCGAAAGACACCTGGTGCCCGCTGACATGACTGAGACTAGTTTCTGTCAACGGCGCATACACAAAGTGCCATTCAACTTACTTACAGGTAGTGTCAAGACCTGCGGCTCTGTGTTGATCGAACGTTTGACAGCGTCCAAGCAAGGAATGTCAGATAAACAACAGGAAATCTGGGGGGGGATGAAGGCTTACAGTCACAGTGAGAAGATGTCTTCAAATGAACAGAGAAGCATCCACTGGGACTGCAGCGTACGATATGAGCGTCACGATCACGGCAGTGCCCGATATCCCGACAGTATCCTGCCCCTGATGCCAAGTACTCGGACTGATTATGGTCTTTTGTGTCTGCTCTGCCTCGTTACTTCTCCATGCAGGGCCGCCACGGCCACCACGCCTTGCAAGCAGCGTCAATTGGACGAAGCTTACTCTGATGTCCCTGAAGTCATCCCTTGAGAAAGCTTCAGTACTCGTGCTCAGGCTCTGACACGTAACGCGTGAAGGTCAGACTCACCACTAGACCAGGAGATTCAGATCTGAAGCTCAGTCCACCTGCATTGAGGTGCAAGTGAGGATTCGTCAATGTTTCAGGGTGTTCGCAATCCGCGCCGTCTGCAGGTAAGGAGGGCAGGCGTTTTATCCTGGTTCATGACTCAAATTGAGTTGGAATGCAACACCTGTTTGATTTTCTGGTAGCCGGTCCTGCAAGGGTATGTGCGAGCTTCCTCTCGGCCTATGATTGTGTGATGGGTACGGGAGTCCTGGCGCGTTATGTGAGGACCGGGTGAAGTGAACTCGCCACGGAGAATCGGGGCGGCGTCCCGAAGGACAGATCACGTGCTGTGGGGTTTTGTGCGCGGCGTGACTTGTTGAAGTCACACGCCGCCGCGTCCATTAGTCGCGTCCGGCGCCTGCGCGTCTCCTGCAGCTCTGCTCTTGCCCTCGATCATAACCACTTCCACGAGTTCACACAATAGCATCGCCAACATGCAAGCCGCAGTCTGCCTGCCTCCGACGACACCGACTCGTTCTGCATACTCCTCGCCGACGAACTACTCCCACCCACCGCTGCGTTCATCACCCCTAGCCAGCCCTGCGTCCTCGCCCGCCGCCCGGGCTGAGGCGCGTCGCCGCTCCCACTACAAGGCCAACCCATTCAGCACTCCAGCGAGTCATCGCTCCCGTGACACGCACGCGCAAGAATCGCGTCGTCGCTCATCGTACACCCCGAGTATCTTCGTGCAGGGCAGCTCGACCCAAGGCGCCAGCTCAAGTGCGCCGACAGAGGAGCCTCCCCGGAAGACGTTCCTCCGCGAACGGCTCAAGGCGAGGTGTCTGGAGCGTGCTGCGCAGAAGCGCGAACGCGCACTTGCGCGGGGCAGTCGGCACCTTAGCAGCGACCGGAGCAGCGACGGCATAGACGAGATGATGGAGGACGACGAAGAGGAGGAGGTCATGCTCAACGACGAGGTACGCACTGTGCTCTGCTTCTATCTTGCTATGTGGGTTGACGCAGCGCTGTTGCAGTTATTTCGGCGGATTGTAGACAGCGCGAAACGCAAGGAGCGCCATGCCTATCGCCTGTCTTACGCGTATGATGTCGGCTCGTCCTTTGATCCGGATATGGAGGACCCTCAGTCCTGGGAGACCGAGCTCAATGGTGCGTTTCTAGGATACGAGTCCCCGTCATTATCTATGATATGTGGCCTAACTGTAGATGGATACTGCAGGGTCCAAGCCGTACTCCACGGAGCCAGACGACCTCCTCGAGGAAGAACTCGAAGCATATGCCGCTGAGGCGGAGTTGAACCTGGACGACCTCCAGGTCGAGGACATCTGGAGTCTCAGCGACTACGAGGATTTCGGCCCGACGACCCAGGACGACATGGATACGGATTGATTCGCTGTCTCGCTATCGTTGCATTTGCTATATGCTGCGCTGTCTACATATTTTCAAGGATTCCACTCTTTGCGATCATGCAGTACATACCTTAGCAACACAGGCCTATACGTAATCGTCCCTAGAGGAGTGCCACCCTTGGCATTCCGTACGCGCTAGCGGATGCAAACCACCGGAATTTACGGCATGGCAGCACGACTCAGCATTATACTGTACAGTAACTAGCCATCTATGTATAAATAATACCCTGACTCGCGCTGAAACATCGAACCATTGTGCCACATCGCTCCGTCCTGTCGACCCTTAGCACCTCTCGAAGACGCGGTACAGGTCTGGCAGGTCAGCCACCTGCACGACATCGCGATCTAACAGCGACTTGGGCGGGACAAGGTACCGCGCCATCGCGGGAAAAAGGACATGCTGTATCTGCCACAGCATGGCCTTCTGAGCGTCCTGCGCCTGGTCTCTCGCGTCCGCGTCGCACTCGGGGAGAAGGGGCTCTGGCACGTAGAAGAATGCGAGCTCACGGAGGAAGGTGCCAAAGCATTCCTGCTCTGCTGTCCAGTCCACCTGTCCACAGGAATTGTTCAAGGCGTGACTCATGCGACATATGACTGCACTCACCTGTGGACCAAGTCGCATCAGGAACAGCGGCAGCTTATCGAGGTTCGGGGTGTAGTCCCGGAGGAGCATGGGGAGCGTCTCGACCAGCCCCTCCTCCGAGATCGCGAGGTTGAAGTACTCTTGCAGCATATCCCGTCTCGCCATCACGATCTCGACGATTTGCTGCAATGCACCATCCGCTTAGTACTCACGCACGCAAAGCAGAGCAGTAGCTAACGGGCGCCTACTTCGACGACCTCGTCCTTACTGAATCCGCTCTCCTCCACGCCCTCCTCCGCGTCGACGGCCAGCGATACAAGCGTGCGCAGGTTCGGCGGAGGATCGAGGCGAATGCGCGAGAAGTTTCCGAACTGGCGAAGCCCGAGCTGATAGAAAAGCTCCGCGGCAAGCGCGCCGTGATTCAGGAGGTACAACCGCGTGTTGTGCTGCACGAGCGACAGGCACCGGGGCGCGTCCACGACGCCCACAAAGGTGTGCTTCGCGAGGATCTCGCTAAGCTCTGTGTTTGCGTTTGTGGGCAGAGGAAGGAGGAAAGGGAGAAGGGAAGGGAAGGGAAGGCGGTAAACGGTTAGCGCTCGCTGATCTGCGGCCAGTGGCAGGTTCATGGAATGGAGCGGCACTGACGATGGTGTCTGGCTTTGACCACTGCGGCGCGTAGATCCCTGACGGACTTGAGGAAGCATTGAGACTCTTTTATCTCTTGTGTCCTGAGAACTGGGGGTGTTCCTGGAGATGCTGCTCCATCCGCCTCGCTTTCCTTGCTCGGTCGTTGGGACGGGTGTGCGACGGGAAACATTGAGTCCAATGTTCTGTCTTTGAGAGAAGTCCGGACTTTATGATGAGAGTACACTTTGCGCTTCGTGGGGTGAGACGCTAGGGGCTATGAGCATTGGTGCGGACTGTACCGAAGACGTAACATACCTGCCGCTGCGGCTTCTCCTTCAGGCGGATTATCTTGACTGTCTTCGGCAGCGCCTTCATCCTCATCCGCGTCTTCCGACTGCGCTTTGCGTTTACCCTTGGCCTTCAGTGTACCAGGAGGTTCGGCGATGCCTCCAGTCAAAAGCGTCTATGCATGCATAAGCATTCGCAGAGGGGGGCTGATGAGCTGCACATTGTACCTGGTACTCGAATGTCCTCGAGTGGCTTTGGCCAATGAGCGCTTCTTGCATAGCGTCCGCTATGCGCTCGATGATCGCGTCCTCGTTGAGAAAGTGCACTTCTTTCTTTGTTGGATGGACGTTGACATCGACAGAGCGTGGGTCGATGTGTAAGCTACAGGGCATCGCTTGAACACTACACGCACACCAGCCGAGGACACACGGGACCTACTGACCTCAGGTAGACAAAGGGCGATGCGCCTTTGGCGAGCACCCCGTTGTACGCCGCTTCGAGCGCTTTCTTGATCCTTGACGATTCCACCAATCGGTCTACCCCACAATGGTGTCAGATGCGTATGCGTAGCTGACGAACAACTGACAGCCTCACGGTTGATGAAGAGCAACAGCACCATCTTCTTTGCTTGGTAGTTTGCGTTAGTGAAATGCGCTTCTGCGTTCCAAGCTTCGGCATCTTCGTCGTTGTCGTCGTCGCTGAGCTGAATAGGTGACGTAGCGCGAGCCTTTCCCTTCCCTTTACCCTTGTCGGACGAGACAGAGACATTGAGCAGTTCCTTAGCCAGGGTTTGACCATAGAGGAGCTGAATCGCTTGCACGGTCGTGGACGATGAAGGCGTAGAGACGTCCGGCGATGGTGTGCCAACCTGTACCACCGGTCATTTATCTGTTTCATGAAAGAGTGGCTCCAAATTTACTTTTTTGCATGTGAAGGATACATGAGGATTGTGCACGGCATATTTGGTTACCACATCGAGGATGCGCGTGTACTCCTCGGAGGAGCCGCGAAGAGCGGAGAGCCTCGTAGGCGTGTTGTAGAAGAGGTTCTCTACCTTCGTATCGTAGGGAGATGGCGGTGAACATGACTATATGCGCATTCTCTGGGTAAATACACCTACGGTGATGGTTGTGCCGTCGTTGCCGGCGCAAGGCTTCGGATCCTTGCTCGTACCGGGCTTCACGGGGACTAAGGCACCGTCTGCGTAGACAGCTCTGAAATTTCAGTTAGTACTCAGCACAGGTGAAACACTCCGGGACAGCGTGCGCAACTCACTTCCAGGCACATGTGTCAGTCTTCGTCTTTGTGACGACGGTCAGGTTGGACACATAGGAGATGGAGGCAAGCGCCTCTCCTCGGAAGCCGTACGTCGTCAGCCGCTTCAAGTCTGAGAACGTTGAGAGCTTTGACGTCGTAAAGCGTTCTGCCAGGATAGGCAAGTCGTCTTTCTTGCAAAATGAATGTATGCATGAGTTACTGACGATCTAGGCGCGAACAGACGTACGCACCCGGATGCCGGAGCCGTTGTCTTGAATTTGAAGCAGTTTCATGCCGCCGTCCTTGACGGTGATCTTGATAGACGTGGCACCGGCATCGAGACTGTTCTCAATAAGCTCCTTGAGTGCAGACGCAGGGCGGTGGATGATCTGTTTTCGCCAAAAGCGTTCATATTAGCATATAAAGCAAAGCTGGCGTGGCACACACCTCGCCAGCAGCAATGCGATTGATAACGGACTCCTGGAGTCGACGTATGGGGCGAGGGCCGGGTGGCGGCGGAGACGCAGAACGAGGAGCGGTCTCGGCCATGGGGATTTGCCACCAAGAAACAATGCTGGGATCGGCGCGATCGGGGTTGGGTCGAAGAAGGTTTCGACGATCCAGAAGTGCGAAACGAGGATTAGAGTGGAGTTCCCTCCCGCAAACGCTTCGCTGAGTGGCTGGGTATGCCGCGGAGACGACGACAAGCTTGCAGATGGCGGGGTCTGGATCAAAGACAACGCAAGGCGGCCAAGCTGCCGCAGCCGCAGTGGCCCAAGGCGCGTCTCAACGCGTGCCGACGCGTCCACATCGGGCAACACGTGAAGACCCCCGCATTACGTAATGCGAGCTCTTGGGGAATGACCTCGGCGGTGATCTCCGTTGGGCGAGAGACCAGGCTCACTCATCTTTCCCTCGACAACACTCATCGCACCACGACCACCCTTCCCTTCGACGCGAGCAACAGTCCCTTCTCGACGGCGGCCAGCCTTTTGGCACCCTCGACGCGGTTCCGAGCCTGCTCCGAAACATATCCCGATCAAGCGAGCGTCTTCGATACCGCCTCGACACCAACCCAATTCCCTTCATCCCGACAATCCATCTCGCTCATGTCGGAAAGCATCCAGAGCGACACGGAGGCACCCTCAACGCCTTCGAGAGGTCGCCTCCCGTCGCGCTATCCTGCTGGTCTATCCAAAGGCGAGCCCGGACGCGTCCCGTTGCATAGGCGAGGGACTTCGAGGACGCTAGAAACCATGGAGGACCTCCTACGCGAGAACGGATACAAGGAGACCAGGATTCTCACCCCTGAGGCGGAGCGCATACAGGCCATGACCGAGGAGCGACGGAGGCAGTCCACATGGAGGTTTCGACAGTTGCTTGCCGGATGGCTCCCCGGTGCGGGCGAGAGCGAGCCTATGACGGATGACGATGGAAGCACTCCTGGCCCTCAAAGGTCGCGAATGCCCGCGACTCCCACCCAGACGGCAACATATCACTCCACCCCGAGCTCTCCGCTCGCTCACAAGCGGCCGCTTGAACCGGTTCAGGCCGTCCACCCCCTCTCCTCCCCGAATTCTGCATCGTCCACGACCTTGTCCTCCATGCGTAGCGGAACGTCCTCCGAAAGTCGCACGGTCAGCTACCAGCCCACGCGTCGTGAAATTCATGACCGTATCCCCGCTATCCGCGCTGAGACGTCATCGGCAAATCTGCGGACCTACGCGCAGGTCTCTGCTGCAGGCAAATATCTTCGACACATGGCTTCGACCCCCAACATCGCGAAACCTCCTGCGTCCTCCTTACGCCGCGCGCCCAGCGAACGCATATCTTCTCTCAACGTCGAGCACCCGCTCCCGTCGTCATGGCTCGAATCCGTAACCCAAGCCGTCCTCAGAACGAACGACGGAGCTGCGCATATAGGTGGTCCGATCTCCCGTCCCTCTAGTCGTCAGTCTGAACGCCCTTTACGCGCCTTCAAGGAGAACAAATTCCTCCTGGACGACAAGACCCTTAGACCTTCTCAGACTACTGGTCGCAGTGCGTCTGGTCTACCGCCGAGCGCTATCCTCTACCTCCAACCCCCCCGGACGGCGCCCAGCGCCGTCAACACCGCGCACGTTACGTGCAGATCAGCGCCGGGCTCGCGCTCCACGTCCCGCGCCGGCGATCGCCTGCAGGGCAACGGGTCTCTGCGCGGGCGCAAAGACCGCCACGACCGAGCTCGCCGCGGATCCCGGCCCGCGCCCACGGACCGCGTCCCGTCGCTCGCCTCTACGCGCATCGAGAACGACGCGTGGGCGGGCATGCACTGGCAGGACGGCAGGCGCGTGCCGCTCGCGCAGCTCGAGGACGCGTCGTACGAGGAGGCGGTCGACTCGGACGACGACGACGAGGGCGAGCTCGACCTCGCGCGCCTGCTCGTCCCGCCGAAGCGCCAGTACTCGATCCAGAGCCTGCGCAAGCACCTGCACGTCGCGCATGCGCAGACCCGCGCCGCTTACCCACGCTCGGAGTGGGAGGAGGAGGGCGTGGCGACGAGGGGACGCGGCCGTCGAGTAGACATCGACGAATCCGACGGCTACCCCACCTTTGAGCGGACGGACAGCCCGAAGCGTCGGAGGGGCTTGCCTGGGGCTTGGGGCGCCCTGGGCAACGGGAGGTAGTCGGGGGTCCCTCTGTTCTGTTTCCTGTCTGGTCTCCAAGTTCAACATCTCATCCCGGGACTGTCGCAATATTTACAGTTATTTGGTCGCTGACCATCCGTCAAGAGCATCACCAATTATACTACATTACATTCGCGCATACACCTACAAGAAACGCACTCGTTCACGCCTGCCACATTCAGCATCCAGCTCCATTATGTATCATGCATTCCTTTTCGCTGTCCGGATCCATGCACGCACTGTTATCACTATCGCATCCACTCGTTCAACCCTGCTTCATCCATCGTCAGACCGTCTCATAATGGATACTATCACTACTAGTAGCAACCCACCCCTGCCATTGCCTCATTCGCTCGCCAATTCCGCACTTCGTCGACTTATACCTCGTTATAATCTCCTTGGTAGACTACCCGGCCTCTGTTGACTGTAATGTGTCCTACGTCTATTGGCCCCTTCGCTCTGCTGATTCACGTAGAAGCAGGATGCGTGTGTACAATAATCCGTCGCAGTATGTATTCTATATGTATATATCCCGTTCTCTCCGGATCATCGGCCGTGTGCATCTCCATGTGCCGGAGTATGGGGCAGGTGAAGTCAATCGCTTGACAGGACATGGAGTTCCCCCGCCCGAACCCCAGGTCATGTGAAGCCGCTCAACGGACACATACATACTGACGATTACCCTGTCAGGGAGTATCAAACTTGGCCCTATCATGAGCAACAAATATTGGATTCGGGTACATTCTATAAGGCCTTCTCGCCCTGTCCTCCGGTCTGCATCAAGTCTAGTGATCACTGAGGACCTGTGGTATGGCCTACAAGGGCATCACAGCGCGGCGTATTCTTTCACTACACTCCGGGGTTCCTTGTAAGATGCGATAGGCGTGAACGGGAGGTCGCGCAGTCTAGGGATCCACGTTAGAACGTGAACGGACGAGCCAGGAAAGAACACACACCCGAATGCTCCAGGACCTCCGCACTGCAGTCCCTCTGGAGTGGTGGTCCAGCTCGGGTGTCCGGCCAGCGCGATCACGGTGACACGCAGGCCGTACCTGTAGTCGGGCGTCCCCAGCGCTGCGCCGTTTTGAGAGTCCAGCACGGTGATCAGGTCCGGGACCGTGACGTGGATCTGTTGGAGAGCATGAAGGCGCTAGAACGGCAGCGCGATGAGTGCGTGTGACCCCGCACCTTCTGCTCGCCATTCGCGGATTCGATATAGGCATACAGGTTCTCGTTCTGAAAGGGAATGACGAGACGATCGTCGGGCTTTACGGGCAGCGTGAAATCGGACGCTGAGATGGCGTCTTCTTCCTCCTCTTCCAGCAAGGGTGCGATGGTCACTTGGCCCCACGTAAATCCCTTCCGCACTTCCTGGGCTGCTCGTCAGCACGACCAATCGACCAGTGCAAGCAGAAGCTATACACTTGCCCGCTGAACGTCGACGATCTTCCCCACGAACAAACATGAACCATTCTGCAGCTCCAAGATAGCCTTCGGTACGTATTTCAGGATGTTCTTCTTCCGGCAAAGTGCAATCGCGCGCCCGATACGCCACGCCTGCGAGACAGTGTGGGGCACGCCATACTGCGTACACGTCTTCCGCGAAAGAGGCGCCATGCTGACGCCGCTTTTCGAGCCCATCTCGGTCGTAACTGTACGCAGGATATCTTCTACCGCTTTTGGATTCCGAGCTGTGGGGAGGACCTGTGGCGCAGAAGCGAACGACGGTTAGGATAACGGTCGACGGAGGTTATCTGGCCTTAGCGACGTACTAGTGTGTTCCCTATCCCGTCGGAGAGCGCACATGGCCAGAGACCGTTCGGGATGCCATACGCACCAGGCAATCTGATCGGGTCGCACTTAGCTGACTGACATTGGTCAATAAGGGGTCGAATCGACTCACGTTTGGTACATCTAGGGAAGGCGGCATCCAACGTGACTACAGACTTTGGTGGAACAGAGAGAAGACGTACATTTGGATACGCCCTACCCATGAGGTCGCAGTCCAAGACGGCCTTGCCCATCTCTGCTGCGACGATCATAGGCTGGATACCATTTCCACCGCCTATTTCCTCGGAGATAGAACCCCTGAAGTCCTGTACTCCGAGATATTTCAAGAGTATGCGAGCAGCCGCAGGGATTTCATCTCCGCCTTGGAGTCGTTCGACCTGAGACCAGTGTTAGCCGACATGTATGTGGCACGCGATATCTCGCGAGGGACACCCACGGCCACACTAGGAGAACCCTTCGATTAGGCGAAATGAGCTGCTTAGCTTGCGAGTGAAGGCAAGATCCATACCATGAAGCCGCATCGAATGAATACGTCTTCCTCTGGCACATCCTCAGGGTCCAGAACCTGTTCAAGGATGTCACAAGACCTGAATTTGGCGAAGGTGCGAAGCTCACAAAGATCTCCTTCCCGTCACGGAGAGCTTGTCGCGCCATTAGGAAAGGTGGATACGGCGAACCGCCACCTCCCGTCCCGAGTACGCCGCATCCCTCAGCAATCCACTCTGTCGTGCGTCAGATCTGGTCTTCGAGGTATTGCACGAACCGCAGTGCCTTACCTAGGTCCAGTTCAGTGAGCTTCCAGGATCTGTTTGGGAGTATGGTGGGCTTGTACGATTCGATGTCGATCGTTTCGAGTGACTGGTTCTCTTCAACATGCTGGATTTTCTCGAACGACTTATCAGCCTCTTCTACGTCCGCGTCGTCTGTGCTGTCTGGCGGCAGGATGCTCCCTTCCAGATCGGCAATAGCTTCAGGGGACAATTCGCCCGCGGCTTTGACGATGATACGAGTGGCCTGGTTGGTAACGTACTTCGGATGGCCCAGACGTCAATATCACGTATTCTCGTCCCATACACCAGGGGAACGAGGTACCTGAACGGGGATGTTCGCGACCTCCACGATCTTCGTCGTAGCTGAGAGACAGAACGCATTATTAGCATGCCGCGAAGCCCTGACAGCCATGAGGCAGGACACGAGCACGCACCCGGACTTGCGCCGGACGAGATAGCCTTCTTGATGGCTTCCAATTTGATGCCCTCCACAACGGTGTGAATGTCCCGGCCAGCGAGCAGCTCGATCGTGTCCACTTCTCCCGCGACTGTGACGTCACCGTTAATCTCGCGAACGGGTGGCTTGCGGTCAGGCACGTACCCTTCGCCATAGCCGCGCCAACCGCGTTGGCCACGCTGAAGAACGGCGGTCGGATGATCTCCTTCACACCGGCCAGCTCGTCGGGAGCTATGATACTGCCTCCTCCGACCAGGAGCACGGTGATATCCTCAGGCGATGTCTTCATCCTATCCGATGGTGAGCTTGTAGAACGAGGCAGAGGTATTGAGCACCCTCACTTGTCGATGATTCCTTCCAGCAACTTCTTGATCCTCCGCATGCCCGAGGCGACAGTCTCGGCAGACACGTCCGACACCCTCTCCCTTTCGCCCAACTCAGCCCGTCCGCTCGCGACGACCAAATCCGTAGCGGTGAGCACGCTTCCTCCAAAGACTTTCGCGTCGCGCGTGAGGTTGTGGCCCACGGAGTCCGGGCCGACCGATATACGAGAAACGCCTTGCGCAGACTGCGAAGGCCGCACGATGGACCCTCCGCCCAGGCCGATCGACTGCACGTCCGCCATGGTGAAGTTCGTCCGCACGCCTCCGACCTCGATGAAAGACGCAGCCTGTCTCGGAAACCCCGACGGGAGCAGGACGCCCACGTCGGTCGTCGTCCCGCCGACGTCGACCACGATCGTCGACTTGCGGCTCTCTGAAGCCTTGTGGTCGTCCAGGCCGGAAAGGAACGCGGCGCCGCGCATGGAGTTCGTGGGCCCTGACGCGAAGGTGCGGATCGGCAGCCGCGCTGCGGAGGCTGCCGTCGTGAGCGTGCCGTCGTTCTGGGTCAGGAAAACGGGGCAAGTGAGGTTGAGGGCATGGATCGCCTTCTGGAATCCACGGATTGTGCGCTGGGCGAAGGAAAGGATGGACGCGTTGAGGATAGAGGCGTTCTCCCGCTCGAGAAGGCCGACTTGACCAACTAAAGAGAGGACAGGATGAAAGGACGCTTCACGAGAATCAGACTATCAAGATATTACCGTCTCGAGAGCAGACCACGTTCACCGAGGACCCAAGTTCGCGCTCCATAATCATCTTCGCTGCTGCTTCGTGCTTCCCCTCGTTGTCCAAAGGCGAGTATACCCCGGAAAGGACGATCTGAGAAGACGCCTCTTTAGCTTCCGGGATCTAACGAGAATGGGATAAGTGCAACAAATATAGCAGTGTCCTAACTGGACTGCTGAGTAGAAGTAGATGGCGCGACAAGTGCGAGACGGATGGGTCTGAGGCTGTTGCAAGCATAACTGCTTTGTCAAGAAGTTCTTACGTTCTTCAAACCCTTATCTCTGATGATGGCGCACTGGGCGACAACTTGCTGCTCGTTGAGAGGGAAAATCTCTCTGCCATCGACTGGAATCACGTCAAAGCTGGTTCCTAACGCGAGAAATTCAAAGCGCCTACTTTCGAATCCGCCATCAACGAAGCCAACATGTCCTTCTGTCAGTGTGCGCAGATGCTTGGGGAAGTCGACGAAGGGGGGACATTGCCTAGTGTAGGGACCACAAAGACGGATCACAGCAACTTTGGCGAGCCGACGTGCGTCTGCCTCCAATACAGCGTTGATGAATGCGGTCGTGCCGATGCTGACAGAAGTGACGTCGGACGACGATGCGCCGGCGGACTTGAGCACCTCCCGGATAGCGTTCTCAATGCCCTTTGAGACATCGGGCGTTGTGGGTGACTTGTAATGGGCGAGCACACCACGGCTAGGGTCGTTGAGGCGTGTCACGTCGATCAGGACACCATCAGTATTGGTTCCTGCGGGGCATGTCAATTGAGACTAAACCGCGACCACGCTCCCGGGAAATGGATAGACGAAATGAAAGGATCCCCACCTCCGACATCGACTCCGATGCGTAGCATGTTCAGCAAGCTCTTCTGGACTCTCTACTCAGGACAATGCGGCTGCCGTGAGGCAGAAAGAGGTCCTGGAGCGAATATCGCAGATTCAACGATACTCTCGGCTGGAGATACTTCAGTCAGATGGGCTTAGATAACGTGTGCAAACGCATGGATTTGCCGGGTGAATCCGACTATTGCATATGGAGGAAGCCTTCCATGGGCTATGACTGGCTGCGACCATTCCTCGAGCCTACAGTGCTGTTCCCATCAGCTTCATACAGAATATCGCATACAATAACAGGAGTCAAACATGAAGCAGCCTGCACGGTTGGAGATGGAGAGGAGGGAAGACGGCGACGTCATGAACAAATTCAGATAGAATGCGAGCGTGAGTGCATATCTGGCGCTTCGTGCTCGGGGCCGGCAAGCTAACCTGTTATCCGCTGTATTGGGCGCAAATGCAAGCCCTTATCCGGGATAACATTCGCCAAACGCCTGCGCACATAGATGTGGCAACCGTCTTGCCATCGCCGCCGACGCCCAAGCGGAAAGGTGAAAGGCACCTAAGATGATACCTGAACGGGCATGGTCGAGCGGGGGACAGGCTGGGAAGGCTGGGAGCCCCCAGAAGACCTGCTGGTTGTTTCGCCATGTCCCGTCAATCCCCGTGTTCAGGCTAATATCGTTATAAAGCTTCCGCCGTCCAGCTCTCATGACACCCGTTCTCCTCGACCTATCCTGACCACCTCCTCCCTAGCCCCACCCGTGTCGTGCAGCGCCTTGCATCGTCGGCCATGCCTTCCCGTCTTGCACACCGGAGAGCTTGGTGAGTCCATCTCTCTTTCGTTTCCCCTGATTAAGCGTTATGGAAGAAGCCAGCAGGTACCACATGCTTCTGCGTCCCGCTCTCACAGTTGCCTCTTTGCGTAGAACTCTAAACGTTCCGCGCTATATTACCCTCTGATGGTACATGGAAGGCTCTTCGGTGACGCGACAAAATAGCCTGCATCGTTCTCCTGTTAGGGATGACTCGTTCTAATGAAACCACGCTGGTCCTGGGCGAACAGCGGCTATAGCACGCCCCGCTACGCCATCGGCTAGGCGTTCCTTACACCTGCGGCGCAGATGGGTGACATCTATGTACACCTGGAAAGCCCCGAGACGGACGGAGGAATTGTATGGCGCGTTGATGAGCGCTCGCCGCCCAGCAGCCGCGTCCGCCAAAGTCTTGACCCCGATGCAACCGCACAATGTCCCTCTGGCCGCATGACATACGTCACATGTCTTCCTTTCATAAAATCCTCCTTCCTTTTGACGGACATAGTCGTTCGCACTGCCACTCCAGGGATGCTGGTGTGTGAGACAGCTTTGCGCACCTTCCGAACAACGATGACTTCGTCCCGATTCCGGCGAACATGTTTCATGCACGCCAGTGTATCCGGTTCTCATTCGTTTACCGATGCGAGTATGTTTTGAGGTAATACTGAGTTCATTACATACTCTGCCTGCTCCTGATAAGCTCAGTTGTGGAGGTGTCCAGGCCGCAGTGCTCTCTCCTACCGACCATCTGGTTTCCTGTCCTTACCGACTCTGTGTCCACTCCTTGCCCAGCTTTGATACGCGAGTTCTGTTTGTGCTATCTTGCCAGACATGCTCACCTCCTTCTCAATTCGTAGCTCGGCAAAGCAGCGCGAGCTCCGCGACAAGCTCTCCGCCACAGCCGACGTTTACCGAAGTCCCCAGACCGACACCGACGCAAAGATCCTCTCTCTTTCCCTCTCTCAACTCGTGTCCTTATGCGAAAAGAACGCTGTCACCCCGCAAGAAGTCCTAGGTGCCTACGGCAAGCGGTGCCTCCTCGCACACGAGGCTACCAACTGCCTCGCTGACATCTTCCTCGACGAGGCTGAGCCCAGCGCGTCATCCATCGCCAGCTCCGCAGACAGACCACTCCTCGGCGTCCCCATCACACTCAAGGACTGCATCGACATCGCCGGGCACGACACCACCGTCGGCTACTCCGCGAACGTCGGCCACCCCGCACACGCGTCCGCGCCCATCGTGCGCCTCCTGCGCGACGCAGGCGGCCTCATCTACGCCAAGACGACGCTCCCCACCGGATGCCTCTCCTTCGAGACCAGCTCGGACCTCTTCGGCTCCACGGCGAACCCCTACAACCCGGCATTCTCCCCTGGGGCATCAACGGGCGGCGGCGGCGCGCTCCTCGCGTGCCAGGGCAGCATGGTCGAAGTCGGCAGCGACCTAGGCGGCAGCACGCGCTACCCGGCCGCCTACTGCGGCCTGTACACCGTCAAGGGCTCCCGCGGGCGTTTTCCCAGCCACGGGAGCGTGTCGTGCATGCCCGGGCTGGAGGCCGTGCCTACGATCACCGCCCCGATCGCGCGCACGCTCGACGATCTGGAGGAGTTCTGGAAGAGGGTGGTTGGGATGCGGCCGTGGGAGTACGACCACACGGTATGTACTATGCAGCGGCGTCCCTGCGCTGCTTCCGGTCCTCAGCGGGGGCGGCACGTGCTGACGCATATCGCCCCGGGGTTAGTGCGCACCGGTGCCGTGGAGAGCGGTCGACTACGCGGCCACGGGGGAGAGGCTCAAGTTCGGGCTCATCATGGACGACGGTGCGCAACGCGTCGTGCGACCTTGTGCTTCCGGGACGATGGCAGACTGACGTTCGCGCGCGCAGGCGTCGTGGCACCTGCCCCCGCCACCGCGCGGGCACTTCTGGACGTCGCGAGCGCGCTCAGCAAGCAAGGTCACGAGGTCGTCCCATTGTAGGTATCATCTGCCTGCGGTCGAGGGTGATACTCAGATATAGTGCAGTTACCCGCCAAGTCCATTGGAAGGCCTGAAGATCGGATACCAGCTCATGTTCTCGGAAGGAGGTGCGCACTCTTCCGCTTGCTTGCACTCGCACCGCGCACCGCGCACCGGCCTGACCTGTCGCATCGGACAGCCAGGTCTGTCACCGACCCGCTCCGGTCCGGCGAATACATCTCCCCCGCTCTCCGCACGGTCCGCCTCATCCTCCGCCTCCCACTCTGGCTGAAGAAGCTCCAAGCCACGCTTCTTCGCTGGTTCTCGCGGCCGTGGGGGCGCAACGACGCGTGGGCGAGCCTCATCGAAGTCTTCCATCCGAAGACCGCGCTGGAGGAGCGCAGGCTCGTCGTCGCGCTCGAGGCGTACAAGGCCGCGTGGCACGAAGCCTGGAAGCGCGAGCGCCTGGACTTCGTGCTGACAGCCCCGCACGCCCTCCCCGCGGTCCCGAGGGATCCCAAGGCGAGCGATAAGGCGACGCTGGTCTCGGCGAATTATGCGTTCTTGTATAACGTCGTGCGTGCCTGCCTGTTATCGTCGCCGTCGCGCGCGCGATCGCGTGATGTGCGCATTTGGACTAGCGTTTTGCTCATGGGAATCGCACGTTTGACACAGCTCGACTATGCCGCAGGAGTGCTGCCGGTAGGCTACGTTGACCGGGCAAGGGACAGCTACTCGCCCGAGTACCGGAGCGAGGCGAAGTACCAAGGGATGAACGATGTCGCGCGTGCAGTGCACGATTTGTATGACGCGGAAGCGATGCACGGTATGCCGCTCGCAGTGCAGGTTGTCAGTGGGCGGTTCGAGGAAGAGAAGGTGATCGCTGGAATGAAGGTAATCGAGAGGGCGTTGTGGGATAGCGGCAAGGGTTTCGTACCGAGACGCTTTTGAAATCGCTTTGTCGGTGATCGGGTTTTGCTTGTGGACAGATGAGGCTCTCGTGTCTGCTGCTGCTATGCTCGTTGCTCTGTGTATTCTTCTGGATTATGTACGTCCTCTCGCTTTTTCGACCGCGTTCTCTTAGCTTAGGTCACATATTACTCGCTTGTATATCTCAGGAACAACTCATCTAATCTCACAATGCACTACTACCACAGACGCTATCTCTTGACCCTCGATTCTAATCGTTTGTCTGTCAGATTTGTCGCCGGACGCCCTGTTGGAAGGGGTGGCATCGGCGGTGTAATTAGCACCAGCAGAACCTAGAGAGGCAAGCGGGTCAACCGGAGAGCGCGACGAACTGTGAGGAGAACGGATATACTTCTCGTTGTAAACCCAGTCGAGCTCATCCTCTTCCTCGTCACCGTACCACTTTACGGCGGACAGGTGCTCCTCTCTGCCCGTGGTCCTCCATCCCTTGCCCTCCGCAATAACGCGAAGTTCGGGCTGGAGGTACCAGAACTCGATCTTGGCCGCCTTCTCCTGGCGCGCGACGGCCTTGATCTCCTCCAGCAAGATGGGGAACGTGTGCTCGTCCGCCCTCAGACGCGTGACCACGACAATCCTGGCATCCCGAACAGAGTCGAATGTCCAGGAGATGAACGGCAGAACGGACTCTGTGGCAAGCGCGTGTGCGAGATCGGAGGTAGAGGGAGGGAAGATGACCGAAGCCCACTGCGACGACGGCAGGCTGGGCTGCAGGTCGGGCGTGAGCGTCATACACCGGATGATCGCAAAGGCTCCGACGCCCTTGTTGGGTAGGAACGTGAAGCGCGTGCGGCGTTGGCGAGCATCAGACGCAGACGCCGCACAGGGAGGACGGGAGAGGTCATCTTTGATCCAGTTCGCGTCGTGACTATAGAGCTTGATAACCTCGTCCACCGTCAGGCGCCTAAGATTGACGTTGGACTCGGTGGCTTCGGATTCAACATGCACATGTGAGGCGAGATCCGCTTCGGGGTTCATATGCCAGGAGGTCTCCTTTGCTCCCGTAACATACCAGCCGTTGCGTGATGTGGCATTCAGCCCGCACGATCTGTAGAAGTCGCTCCCGATGTCGCTGTACAGGACAGAGAATTGTGCGTTTCCAACTCCGGCCGACTCAAGTATCTTCTCGTCTGGTGGGACGCCCCATTCTTCGGGGAACGTGGAAGACAAGGCGGACCGCGGTGCCAACACCCAGTGTAGAAGCCGCATCATATGGCGCGCGTAGCCCTTCCCACGTTTTTGCGCAGGGGTGAATACGGATGCGACGCCGTAGGCGGTGACCTCTTTGACATCAGGCGCAGACGAGCCTCCCGACTGTCTCGAGACGAGTGCCGATCTGCGGAACCTTCAAGCAAGCAAAAGGTGAGCCACTCGCACAATCGGAGCGCTGTCCCAACCTACGTCTCACACGAGCAAAGGAAGTCTATTGTGGTTGGGTCGCTTCTGGGAGCGAGCACCCTGCGAGACAAACACATCGCGTCAGTACATGTGGGTAACGACTTCGAGCCTAGGTAGATCCCTCACCAGACGACGAACTTGCCATCGATTGCCGGCTCACGCGTCTCCAATATAACCTCGGTGTGGAGGTACTCTTTTATAGACCTGCCTCGGCCCCACTGCAGCAAAGTGCGCTTGCGTGACTCGATGGTCTGCTCTCGCGTCGCAGGGAAAAGCGATAGGTCCGCGAGAGATAGCTGCGCAGCTGTTGTATCCGACATTTGTTAACAGAGATGCGTCGTCCCCGACATCAGTGCTGGCCCAGTGTGATGGTTTTCACCAAGATCAAGTGTTAGACACGATAGATCGCATGGGCATGCCATGTGATGTATATCGATCACTATCATCGTGGTGGAGACTGGTACTGGAGTACCATACTACCAAGTCAGTACGCCAGAGCGGCCCAACAGGCGCCTGTTCCAAGCCGGGAAATTTGATGGAACCAATGTTTCAACGAACCTTAGCTCCGACTCACTCCCGAGGACATCTTGTCCTGCAAATTCAAGGCTTGGCTTCTGAATCTCAGCCGAAGTGACTGTATGCCGAGCCTTCAGTATTGCAGCCGATCAACCTCTGTGGCACGTCAATACACAGGTATATCAGAGAGAAGAGACACTTGCGCTGACCTTCGCTTCCACAGGCCTCCTTAACATACGCTGCACGAATATGTCCACCTCTTGACGTCCGCTGTCGTGGATCTCCCGGAAAGTGGCCGTGGCGCATCCGTGATTTCGCTCAACCGCAGTCAGCCTTTCCTCCATGTCGTCTTATCCCAAATGCTTCCGGAGCACTCTCTCATTAACCTCGCTGGCCCAGGCCCAGACCCAATGTCGAGTATTCCTGTTTGAGAGACGTTCCAGGCTTCCCCCTCACGGCCCATGTGCTGATCGTCTCCGTTCCGCCCGCCGGCAGGTTTTATCGTCTCATTGTTGGGAGGGCCGATCTACCGAGGCGACAAATCTCTTGGTGTATCTCAAGGAATAAGCAGATTTCAGCTGTGCGATGCGACTCCATATTGAAAGCCAGAGCCTAATCAGTCATGCGGACCGTTGTCTCAGAATGTGTAAGTGGCAAAGGGCGGTCAGCATGGAAGGTCCGCCTCGGCCCCGTTCTCAACATCTTCCCTCGGCTCTCAAGTACGTCATATATGTAATGCTTGTTATAGTCACTCACGACAAGCACAGGCGATTGGCGCAACTTTGCTTGCAAAGGGATGCTATGAACCGCCGAGGAGCTGAGGAGGTGCTCCAGCAATGTCTGCTTATCGATCTCATCTCATCGTCGTCAACACACGGCTTACTTGACACGAGCTACTACGGGAGTCGGTTCAGGCACGACCGAAGACGCGCGAGAAATAGCTCTGGAGTCCTTCCAGATCTTGAGCGAAGCCGCCTACGTATCCGTCAGGGCGGACCACAAAGATCGCCAACGGGCCGTCGGACACATGGTACGCTCTGTGCGCATGGCCCTCCTTGTCGTGGTATGCGACGGCTCCCGCAACAGTGGGAGGAACTCCATCGCGACCAATGACAACCGTCCGTACGGTGCCTTCGGGATACTCCTGCGCAGCCCTTACGACCGCGTCGACGTCCGCCCCGCCTTCAGTTGTGAAGACGAGCAGCGTGTGATGGTACGGCTTGAAGATGCTGAAGAGCGCGGTCTCGTTGCCGCCGACATCGAGAAGGGCGGGGGCGTCAGGCGCGCGGTCCCCTGCCCGCACGTCCCCGCCGGGGTACCCCTCGTACGCACGCGCTCTCATTTCGTCCTCGTCGAAGCCGAGCGTTCCCCGTGCGTCGAAAACAACGGGGCTCCAGCGATAGTTGACCTCGTACATGCGGAGGGAGAGGTCGCGCCACTGGAGGAAGCCGTTCTTGTCCATATTGGCGTTGGCGGCCTGCACGTCTTCGGATTTCTTTGGGACTAGGTGCGTGTAGAGGTTGGAGGTGGCGATGAGCATGTGGGTGACCACGGGGAGGCGTTCGGCCTGGTAAGATGGCAGCAGGATCGGAGATGCGAGGCCTTTGTGTGCGAGGGCCAATTTCCAGCAGAGATTGAGCTACCATACCAGTCAGGCCATCGAGAAGCGCATCAAAAAGCACATATGTACACACCGAATCCTGGACGCTAGTGTTGAGACCTTGGCCGCCGGAAGGCGAGTGGACGTGTGCAGCGTCTATGCGTTTCGCTGGTCAGTCGGGCTGGAGCCCCAGGGTAGGTAAGAGCGTTTACCTCCGACAATGAAGACACGGCCCTCGTAAAACTTGTTGACCATCCTCATCTTAGGTCTGACGGCGCTGTCAGAGCACCATACGTTAACTGAAGCAGGCCTAGACACTTACTTCCAATACGTCAAGGAGGTGAAATTCTTGAACACTAGATCCTTGCGACCGGTGTTCTCATGAATGAAGTCTACGAGCTTCTTCTCGTCGACAAGATCCACTGGATCGAAGTTCTGGCCAATCACTCCAACGTGGAACTTGCCCTCTTCGCCTTTAGGACGAATGCCAATACTGTTTGAGGAGTGCTGTCAATCTCACATTTGCAGTCTTGGCAAGACAGGTACGTACGTGAATTTGCCAGGCTGAGGCCAGACGTGCCAGTACTAGTCATACCACACCTTGTCAGCACCGTCTATCTCGGCAAAATTGGTAAGGAAAGATAACCCACGTCGGAATCAACCCCTTCAACTTCAGCGTCTGCCCAAACCTGGCCGTCTTCTTCTTTCGTCTGACCCTCATAGGTGGCCCCAATCGCGCGCCGAGTAAAGCCTGCAAAAGCGAGACACCTTGGTATACCGGCCAATGACAGCTCAAAACAGCAGCGACCCACCTCTGGCACCGTCGGCACCGACGACATACGCCGCACGGATGGTCTCCGTTGTTTCCGACCCGTCGGAGGCGACCTTCTTCACAGTCACGGTGACTCCATCAACGTCCTGTTCCATCGATATGGGTTCCGTGCCAAGCTCGACATGCACACCCCGCTTGGCGAGGTGGTCACGGAAGATTCCCTCAGTCTTGTACTGGCTCATCGCCTGGGGGTGCTGTGGCCGGGATGTGTTGGTCGATGAATGGGTCTCTCGAGCCATCTGCAAAAAACCTACTTCGGGACGATCGGGGGTGCGTTCGAAATGCTCATGCATCCACCAGGTTCGCTGAGGCTCTACGCCCCCTGGGAGCTTGTACGAGCGCATCTGGACGCGCTTGCGGGCGTGGAGACGGGCATCGTCGAGGACACCGAGGAATCGGAAGACTTCCATCGTTCGGGGCTGCAAGATACAGAAGTCAGTACACCGCGACGGTACTGAAGGACCGAGCCCGTTACCTGCAAGCCACTACCACGAGATGCCTGGTGGAACGAGGTGACCTTGTCGATGATACGGACAGGCACTCCGTTCTGTGCCAAAGTCAATGCTGCAGCGAGACCCGAAGGACCACCACCGATCTAGGTGGTCATTGCGCGTGAATCAGAAATTCATTGATAGGCATGACAAAAAAACATGGAGCTTACGACAAGGATGGGGGTAGTCTTGTTCTGAACATTGGTCATGATTGTAGAATAGTATGTATGAAGCGACTCTGAGTCCTTAGTTCTGTGGGTGTTTTCGCGTGACTGCTGAGGTAGCAGAGGGGGCAATCGCAAGGTCGTTAGATTGGATGATATTACAATGGGGCTCATCCAGAAGTTCTTATACTACTCCGTACACTGCGGAAGCGAAGGCATTTGTCCTAGTCACCAGTCTGAACGCGTCAGCACTACCTCACAGAATTTGCGATTCATGGTCGACGTCGGGCTCTCGCCGTCTGCAGACTGCCCAGCCTCGCCGACGCGTACCGAGGTCAAGCAGACGGAGAGTGCGGTGAGTCAGCTCTGCTTGCGTAAGTCCTTGCTGATCGGACGGGCGCTTGCGCAGAAACCAGCCCTCACCGCCGCGCACTTGGTAGCACCGTTTCTGAGTACTGCGAGCAGGCACTGCCCGCATAGGCCGACTTGGAAGGCCGTGGTTGTCTTCAGGTTGGAGGCCTCACGTTGAAGGGGTACACACGCGAACTTTTGGATGCTAGGCGAAGTCGGGAAATCTTGTCGCGATCATTATAGTGCCCATAACTGACGATGCATGCGTCAGGCCCAACTAAAGCGAAGGGAAATAACATTACAGATACAACGAAAGCAAAGTTCTACAATACTAGTGTCGCCATGCACAAGAGTGATCATCATCATACCCCCGCGTTCAACGGCCCGCTCAGATGTCCATTTTGTCCTCCTTCTCCCATCCCGGATTCTTCTGCAGGATGACGAACCCTTCCAGTACGTGTGCGAAGGGAATGTACTCTTCTGTTGCAAGCTCCGCGCGCTCCGTGGTGCCCAATCGCACCGGCGTTGAGTGTGTCTGGAAGCCCGAGATCGTTCTTGGCTTGCCTGCCTGACCGACGACATCGACGGCCTGACCGACGCGAACCGTCACCGGGATGTTGTTCAGCTCTTCGTCGAGTGTCATCAGGAACCGCGGGTACATCGCAGGGACAAGGAAGTAGAGCATCCAGTGGTAACGGTCGAGGATGACTGTACGCGCAATATCTGGTCAGTCAAACAGACTTTGCAACAAGCTATGGGAACGTAGCACTTACAGCCCTTAGCATCCGTGAACGCCGTGAGGGTCGCCAACAGGCCCGCGACCGCCGTCCTGCTCATGATGGACCTGTCCGAGAAGAAGGGGTTGATTGTGATCGTCCCCTTGCCCATGTGCACGAGGCCCTGGGCGATGCGGACCATGAACAGGCAGTCGGGCTCCTTGTAATAGTAGCCCGCCAGCTGCCGGAGCATCTGCGCGAGGCGCGCGTTGTTTGTGCCTGCGCCGATGAGGCCCATCGCGAAGATCGCGTTGAGCGCGACCTGCAGGTCGTTATCGTGCGAGTACTTCGACAGCGTGTCCATGATGGGCAGTTGGGGATTTGATGCGCTGACGAGGCCGAGGGCGAGAGGGACGGCTTTCCGGACGATGGGCTCGCCGTAGTGCATCTGTTTGACGTATTGTGAGTGTACATTTCAAAGCAGAGGACAGTAAATACTAACGAGGTGATTAAGTTGTCGTAGAGACATCTCCGAACCAATCTCCTCACCCATCGCGACAAGGGCGATACCAATGACAGCAAACGCTTGGAATGTGTCGTCCTTCGGCGGCTCTTCCGGCGTCGTGTCCTTGTCGTCCTTCTTCTCCTTCGGGGTCTTGTCGATGTGCTCGTCGCAGTAGTGCAGCAACTCTTGCACCTTCAAGACGTTACCCGTGCCCGCGTACGAACACATGTCGACAAGGACGACGGCAGTCTGCGAGATCTGGTGCTCGATCGCCTTGAGCGTCGCGATCGTCGCGTCCGCGCCATCCTGCAAGCCTGTCCAAACGCATCAGCCCTACCTCATGCCATGACACGACCCATAACCCCTACCAAGGTAGAGCAGCGCGAGACCGAGGACCATGTACCGCGCCCACTTTTCGTCGAGGAACTTGTCCTCGCGCTCCATTAGTGTCTGCAAAATCGTGCTCGCGATCTCGCCATTGCCGCTACCGACAAAGATGAAGCCGAGCGAGAGCGACGCTAGCGAAGCGATTTCCATCGACACGCTGTCGTCCGCGACATATGGCAAGATCAGCTCCATTATGTCCGCGCGCTGCGCGCCGGCGTACGCTAGCCCCAAGCCGATGATTGACGACGTCTTCAGCGAGACGGACTTGTTCTCGACGTACTCGCCGAGCAGAGCAAGGGCCGCGTCCGCCTCGGTGCGGACGCCCGAGTTGAGGATGCCAAACGCGAGGAGCGCACCGGCCTTGATGTGCTCCTCCGACGAGTATGTGTACTTGTCGATCTGGGATAGACCTTCGTCCGTGTCCCATAGGAGGGAGAGACCGAGCGAGGCGGCAGCGCTGAGCATGCCGTGGTCCTTGTTCTTGTACACCCAGCTGTTGCCCTCCTCAGCCTTCGCCATGAGCTTGTCGTTACCGAAGCCTGCGTTGACGAATGCGTTGACAAAGGTGCCGGCAAGATTGGCCTTCGCAGAGTCGACGTTGGCCGCAGTTGCTGTCCCTGTTGAGCGAGGTGAGATATAGCCCAAGCCGAATGAACACCATTTCGCGGTACGTACGGGTATTCTCCAGGTGTGACTTGTACACATCCTCCAAACTCTTCGGCTCTAGGACGCTGAGCTCCTTGCCGAACTCCTTGAATTGCGTACTTAGACGAGTGTTGCTCAAACACTCTACAAGATCTTCCGGGAGTTCCGACTCGCCATCATCCATACCATCTTCTGCAGGCGCCTCCAGCCACTCCTTCGGCACTTGCGCTCGCGCAAGAAGGAACGCAAGCTGCTTCTTCATACTAGAGTTGGCGGGTGCGTTGAAGTCCTTGCGGATGAGATCCTGGTCACCGAGACGTACTGACAAGGCCAAGGCCTGCGGGAACTTGTGGTGCTTCGCATAGATGCCGTGTGCGGTACGGAGGAAAGAGACATCATCGGGTGGTGGGAGGAGATTGACACAACTATGGGCCCGAAGAGTTAGCAGACTTGTACGGGCATTTAGAACCAATGACCCTTTACCGAATCATGTACTGGCACACGCGCTCGTACGTGTTCTCGTCCACGAGATCCACGATCTTGTCGACAATTTCCATCTCCTCGAGAAGATCCACAGCGTCGGGCTCGGCGTTGTGGTGCAGCAGGAAGGTGGCGCATTGAATAGCGAGATTGCGGAGGTCGTCCACCGTACCAGGGACCTTGCTCTCCTCCGACTCCTTCTCCACGCCAGCCTCGTCCAACTCACGCGAGTTGTACTCCTCGCCGAGTTCAGCGGCAAGGTGGCGAACGTACTCGTGACCCCAGGAACCAGGTTCTGAGAGGGGTGATGATGGGCTAAGGGCGGCCGAAAGTAGGCGGTAGCGGAGTGTCCCTCGAGGTTGTGTGTCGGAGTACGTCATAGCAAGGACGGAGAGAATGTCTGCAAAGAGACTCTGAAAGAAGAATGATCCATGTGAATGTAAATGTTATCTGCACCCTAGAATGTGAAAGCACAGATATCCTCACCTTGTCGTCTGACGCAGGCCATGTCTCGTATAGAGCCTGCAGACTGGGGTAATGAGGGTGCAAGAACTTCAACGGCTTAGGGACGGAGGTCATAGAGGACGTTGATGTCCTGATTAGTGTCCTGAGGGTCTCTAGAGCAGGCCGGTAGAGTTTCGTATCCGGTTCCTGGAATAAGCCACAGCTGAGTATGCATACGCGGCCCGGCTAGTGATGTTAACTCACCCGCAGCCGTTCGATGAGCATCTCCAGCTCATTCTTAAGTTGAAGATCTTCCTCAGACTGCGAGCAATGTAATGTGAGCTGCATGCCTTTTTCACCTTGCCTTGAACGTACCAGATCCTCTCCATCCTTGTCCTCGTCCTTCTTCTTGGATGCAGCGCCCTTATCATCCTCTTCGGGCCTCTCCTCGGGCTGTTTCTTCTTAGGGTCGTTAGAAGGGACAGGAATGGGCAGTTTGGTGGCTTCAGGCATGGCAGCGGAAGTGAACGAAGAGGAAGACGGTTAGGACGAGCGTGTAGGACTGCTCTGCTGAGTGGACGCGACGCGTCAGTGCACGTCGCTTACAGCCCCTAGGCTAGGGTCACAAGAATTACGCGGTTTCTGAGTTGCAAACGCTTGCCTGAAGCGGTCTATTCCGATCAATTTTGCTCCGGTATTTCGGAGGATGCCGAAGATCAGGCGAAATGACATCGTACGGTTTGGATTGTACGATCGAGGATGGCCTGACCTGCGCTTAAGGACTTTCTTGTAATTCATAACCTCCTACGCTCTCTATCTTGCTGCCGTATTCGCTGTCGGGGTCTTCTTGCATCCGCACCTCATTCTGCTGGTAATCAGCGAGATGGCAACAACCTCCGTCCTGACTTCCTCCCAGTTAGACGTCTCCCGGCTGCCTGCAGACAAGTACCGTGGTGCAGTCGTAGAGGTCAGCCAGACACCCGCGCCCTAGTGACCAAGGATCATTACACTTACATACACGTACGCGCTGCGCACATTGTCGTCGGGGCGGAATCCAGGACCTTCAATTGCCACCGGCGTTCTCGCTCCCTTCAGACGAGGCCATCTCACGCGCGATAGAGATGGCCTACGAACGCGACTTCTCCCACATCCCGTGAGTGCTTTCAATCTACTTTTCTTGGTTCTCGTGCCTTTTGCGAAGGCCGCGCGACCGCTATATCAAAGCCTCCGCGAAACACCTTGCGCTGACTTCCTCCATGCTGAATCCCTCGCTTCGCCCTCGTTTGAACTGTTTCCCCGTCCTCGCCTGGGACTCTGTGGTCGGACCTAATTGTCTCCTGGCAGCGTCTTGGACCGCAACCGGAAACTGCTGGGCTACATCGACGTTGCCTCTCTCAAGGCCAAGTGGGAAGCAGGCCAGGCGGATCCTGTGAGTCTTGTCTCCTATCTGAAACTACGCCAGACATTATACTAAATACGGACGCGTTTCCTCCCATCTCATCGACACTCTCCATTTCCCAACATCCGCCCGCCTCAACTTTCGACACAATTGCGTCGCCCGTTCGGCTTCGAATGCTCTAGAGCGACAAGGTAGAGAAATACATGCAGAAGTTCAAGCGCACCGCCGCAACGCCGTACACGATCATCACGCCCTCAACTCCCCTCGCGGAGCTCGAAGACTTCCTCAGCCGCAACATATTCGCCATTGTCACCGATTGGGACCGTAAGTTCGTCCTCGGGGTCGTGACATCACAAGATCTCGAGGTGCGTTTTGGGGCTTCTCGCCACACTCCAGATTCGTCCTAGTCCATCCCGCAAATTTCTCAAAGAACATCCTCCGCATCTTCTTCGCCCCGTCCTCGTTCCCTAGTGCCTGAATTCTGCGTATCACTTTTGCTGACCATGACGCCACTCTTACCAGAATTTCGTCTCTCGCCGTGGGTTCTGAGCTGGATTCGCTAGTATTGTATCACCACCCTTACCTCCTGTCTGTATCATGATTATTCCCTCCGCTTTCTTGCTTGACCACACGCATCATGCTGTCTCATATCATCTTATAAGCAGCGGTTAATTGCACAGGCAATAGTATTTCCGACGGGAGTATCAGTGCCCAATTAGAGCTTCAACAGCCACATTCGCATTTCATCTCGTATATATTCTTGTACGAATACAGGGATACAAGGACAGATCCGAAGAACCCGAAAGAGTTGAGCGAATGAGACACGATACGGACGCGCCCCGTCCCCCACACAACCTAAGCTGGGGCGGGAAGAGACGGTCGCCAGTATGCATACACCTGCTAGTACAGTACAAGCACACACAAAAACCATGGTATGAGCGGTTGCGAGGAAGCCAAAAAGGAGGTGGGCGATAGGGGGAGACTGGCGATCAAGGAGGGTGGGTGAGAGAGGAGGCGCAATTATGCGAAAAAACGGCGTGTGTGAGGTAGAAGCACATTACTCGTACAATCCATAGCGTACCATAGCAGAGAGAGATGAGATAGATGGCGAGGAAACGATGAGAGGACAATCGAGAAAATGAGAGTGTGACAGGAAGAGACAAATGGAGAGTTAGGCAAGCAAGACGACACGACAGGCGCGGGCAAACCTATCGGGACGCGCGAGCCGACGAACGACAAAAGGAACCGTGATGATTGCCGCCACTAATCCCGGTTAACGTGCAGCCACGACCTTCCACCGCCAGGGCAGGCGCACCCCGAACGAAATAATCGGCGTCCAGGTGGCGAGCAGGAGCGCAACATGTTGCGTGCCAAAGGGCACTGGGGGCTCGTGCTGGGCGAACATGTCGATCAAGGAAGAGACGGTGGCGATGATCTGGGTGGCGGAGGAAAGGAGCTGGAAGAACAAGATCCGCCATACCATGCCTGTGAAGTTGGGTATTGGGGTTTCGGTTAGAGCGGCATCGTACGTCGAGACTGCAACCGAGCAAACAATGTGTCAGCGAGGTAGTCCGAGGCACCCAGGAACACAGATGTGAAGGGGTGGGGCGAGGGAAGACTGAGACGGTACTGGGTACTCACGTTCCACAGGAGAAGGCCTCCTCATGGCCCCGTCGTAGTCTTCTCGCTGAGGCGTGCGCGCGAACTCCAGCTCGGACTTGACCGTGAAGGCTGTGTCATCCGAATTCCGAACCCAGCGTAGCGAACCACTAACAGCGTCGTAGTCTTCGTCATCGTCGTGAATGCCATCTCTATTTGCGTTATAGTGGTGGTGGTATTTGCCCCGGATTTGCTCAATCTGGCGCAAATAGGCCTTCTCGTCCTTCAACCAGGGCGCCGCCTCGTACAATCGTTCAGTCAGGTCCGGGGTGACCGACACAGTCGTCGTGGTATACGGCACATTCCCGAGCGCTGCTTCCGAAGGATTCGCGAACACAAGCGGGGAAGGTGTGTGTCGGCTCAAGCTCAGACTCTGTGCCGGAGACTCCCGGAGCGGATCTGGCGAAGTGCGAGACTCATTGAAATGCCACTGAAAGGGAAGGTGATAGTGTGTGGGGTGCCGTGCGACAGTAGGTGCGCGACCCGCAGCAATTCGCACGCGACCGGAAGACAGGGACTCCGGAGGAGAGGGTATTGCTTCAGCAACAACGATTGTGCCGCCGGAGGGAGTCACACTCCGTTGGTCGGCACTAGGGCCAGTGGCAGTGAGAGACAGCTCTGGATAGGCAGTCACTTCGACTTCAGGGGCAGGTGCCGGGTCGAATGTTTTCGCCTCATGGTACCCATGCTTGAGCTTGAACTTTGACTGGCGGCGAAGAGGGACAGTGGTGAAATGATCATGGAGACGTCCGAAGGAGCGACTGTGACGCGGATGAGGGGAGTGAGCGTAGTATTGGTAGGCTGCCGTGCATGTCAAAAAGAATGACGGGAGGGCGAGGAGCAGCGGAACCCCAGCATAACTTAGTAGACGGACCCTGTAACAGACCAAACAGTGTGAATTCAAACATGTTTCAAGAGCAGCACGGAATGGGTAGATGGATGTCATGCGCTCTCGTACCAGACAGGATGCGTCGCGTCGCAATTCAATCCATCGGCAGGTCGGACGGCATCGAACTTCAGTGCCAGCACGAGGTATGAAACAGATGCGGCCACCGACACAATTACCAGGAACAGGCACGTAGGGTACCATTGTATGCGGCTTCGACTTGAAGATTGAATTCAGATGAAGGTTAGATCTCTGCTACGGACATGTAAGGAGCGGTATGAACGTACATGTATAGCGGCGTGGCAGGTCCACCACCGGCTGGTCGAAGGATTGCGCGGGTTGTACAAATGGCCACGCCAGAGGTAATGACTGTCATGAATAGCCAGGAGATGGTCATGATAGCCGCTTGCGCTGAACGGGAACACAACGTCACTTCCACGACGTGGTAAAGTACGTTGAGGTGGGAACCATATACCACGTACCTGTGCAGAACGGCAGAGGCATCTCAATCGGATCCATCCTCCAGATCATACCTTTCCCCACCGATTGCATTGGTCTCGCAGCATGCTCCAGACGACAAGAGACTCACCCAGACAAAACATCCCCTGCAGCACGAGGTTGGCGAGGCAGTACAGCGCCGGGATGAGGTAGCCATTGAGAGCCTCTGCGAACGCGGGGACGGCGGCGATACTGCTGAGAAGGCCTGGAGCACTGTCAGTCCGGCTCGAAGTCTCGTGGGGAAGCACGACTGGCCTGATAGAGAGAGGATGAACCATGCAACCTTGAAGCCAAAAGCTAGCATGCCCTCTGTCAATGCATGCAGGGGCGCGGCCGAGAACGGCTACTGGTTGTCAAGGCCGTCGGGAGATGGAGGAGGGAAGAGGAAAGACGTGCTGGGCATGCGCCTCTACGAGAAGATGTAAGAAGGATGATATCCCAAAGCCGAGGTGGGGCGGCGCTACTTCAAGCGAGCACGCACATCAGAGCGCCTCCTCGAACAGGCAGCTCAGACCCTGGGCCAAGATCCCATCGAGATGGGCATCGCTCAAAATACGCTAACCTAGCTATCAGTCTACAATTACTTGACCGTGATGCAGCCAGCACTGCGGTCGTGAGACACCGGGGCCGCGGTGGGAGGACAGCGAGAAGCTCTAAAGTAAGCACGCTTGAGAGTGCCCACTCCTCGAGGGAATAGGGCGACCTATGAAGATATTCTGACATGTCGTTTTGCGTAGCATGCCAGTGGGGAAGAGGCGGCGATAGCTGTTGCCTCCGCGACTCGTCGGAAGTACGTAACAGCTCCCCACAAGGACGAGTTTTGCCGCCTTGCAGCGGCTCGCCGGATCCGTCCCTGATCCTCTCTCTTCTCCCCCAATAGGATTTGCTTTCCAACACGTCTCTGACCGACGACGGAGGTATTAGTGCCGAAAGCGGTTTATGCGGCTGAGACGTTGTCAGGCGGCTCGGAGGCGGCTTGCGACATGCCGACGGCGGGAACCTGCCCTCGACATCTCTACGAACGCGACCAGCCTATAGCTCGACAACTCTATCGTCAACCTCAGACTGAGCATATCGACGCGCGTTTTGCATAGCCTCGAAATGGCTGTGCCACTGGCCTCTTGTGTCACTACGATTGCTGCACGGACACCATCCGAGATGTTTCTTGTGGTAAGCACTTCTGTCATTGTAGGCCATAACCGTCATGCTCTCGCGCTGGGCAGAGGTCAGCCGAGGTAAGAAGCTGATGTCTGCGTTCTAGCCGTATGCCGCAACCTAGACGCGTTTGCGTTAGCTTCCGGGGGCTACGCACCGAGGGAGCACTCCATTGTGCTCACAGTACTAACGCCCGAAGATGGACTAGCCGAGTAAGGCAGATGCTTGGCCGCTAACTACTCCCATCGAACGATGGCATCCCTCTTCGACTTGGAGATCATGGCCGTTTGGCGGCATCCCACACTTGAGTCCCGCCTACTGGGTATGGAACAAGTCTGACCATTGCATCGCGGTCGGAAGTATGTACGCTGTCATGCCTTAATCGAGCTGGGCGGAAAGGCTGTTTCTCTACCAAACCAGGTGTATAGATGATTACATGCATATGGGCTCTGACCCCATAGCTAACATGCGCTAGCAGTGACTGCGAATGGCGCATTCCCATATTACACAGCACGGGCTGGATCGTCTTTCCCCAGGCAGGCCTCGAGTGAGTCGTCAACCCAGCAACGCGCAGTAATCTAGGTTCCTGCCATGCCTAGATAGTAGGGTTCTCCGTCATCCATATATGAATGCCTGACTCATCATGACAGACGCAAGTCCCACTCAAGCCACCCACCGAGACCGCGGAGGTTAATTGATGCCTAGAGCTCTCATGAGCCGAATCAGCCGGGATTGATACAGTCGACACCCTCTTAACCCATAGCCCTCGGGACAGGCCCAAATATATGGGTTTTGAGGGGTTATGGGCTACCGGAACTTTAGCGCCTTCTAAGCGCCCTGATAAGTCCCAGTTAGCGAGCGCTGAACAGGCGTCTACTGACCCTTCGAGGGAGCGCTATGGGATTTCGAACACACTAAGCTACCCACAATGTGGTTGAAGCATGGATGGATGCTGGGAGAACACAAGGAAGCATGTATCAAGTACTTTGTGGGTTATTGATGAGCGAAATCTCAATGTGACCACTATTACCGTATGGGTTTTGAGCCCTAGAAGGCTATGGGTTATGGGGTACTGGGGACCTATGGGTTATGGGGTCGAATTCCCCCTATCCCGACTTGGGAAAGCCAAAATCCTATGGGTTTTTAGAGTTTATGGGTTACCAGGGGTATGGGTTAGGAGGGTGTCGACTGTAGATGGGATATCAGTGCGCCGATACATAGTACGTCTCCAACATTGTAAAGCATTGATCCAGAGCACTGTTCGGCGTTTTCTAATACGCTAACGTACAACAAACAGAATGGTGTCGACCACCGAGTCAGCGAGCCCTTTATCCTGATTAATCCTCCGCTGCTTGTTTAGCATTCGCGATGTCCTCTGTCTCCCCCGCCGCAATGGCTGTCAGCGCGGCAGCCACGCCTTTCGGGTCGTCCCTGCCCTCTGCGATATCGGTGCTCGTGACGC